GTCCTTGAGTTTCTGATGCATATAAAAAAAAAAAATCTGAAAAGTGTTACGAATAGTGACAGTGAAAGAATCCACATTTCAGTGTTAATGGACAGCACAGTATGAATCAAAAAGATGGTATCACACACAGTATCCTGGCTCTTCAAGATCTTTACTGTCTACAGATGAAAATAGGCCTCAGTTTCCTATATAGAAGAGGACATAAAGAAGGAAGGAAGCTGGTCAACCTGCTCCTGGTGCCCAAGCAAAGAGAATGTTCTAGTTCCTCAGGAGATCTAGAAGGAAGAACAGAGGGAGGAAGAGAGGGAGGAGAAAGAGAGGGAGGAGGAAGGGAAGAAGTCCTGATTACTTTTTTGACAAAAAAACTTATCATTTATTCAAAAGCTTAAATATAATGGCACAAGAAGGAGAAACCTATATATTCTTACTAATTCTTATCTCATTTTATATTCTAAGTCCCTCTAAGCTATACTGAAATCCTCTGTACATTTCTTACATACTTTGAGATGTTTATGTCATATGTTTGTAAAGCTCATAATAAGCACTGTGTTTAAAATTAAACTCCCATGCATAGAGAGTACATGCCAAGGGTATGTATAGCATAGTACCCACTTCTGGGAAGAATGGATGGTCAGCATAAGACTCTGGATCCTACCCAAAGAGATTTTTCAGGACAATGGGATGGGGAGTATATTTACCTATTCATCAGTGTAAAAGGGACTAACCTTTGAAAGTGGGTAGCCCCTGACTGAGGCTGACTTAAGAACCAGTATAGATGGATGCAAGATGACTGTTTCATATGATTAAGTACCACCCTACTCTACTATAAATTTGCTTTTGATAACACTATCAGTGGGGAGGGGGAATGAATGAAGTTCAAAAATAGGGTCTCTGTACAGGTTATCATACAGAACTTCACCTGTTCAAACAGTAATCACTCTATGGAACTGAACTGGCTATGTATTTGTTGGCCCAAAATCTATTAGTTTTTCAATGGAAAAAGTGACTGTACTTTGCAAAAGAAATCTTGAAATATTTCCTATTTTGTTTTGCTTTCATGCACAAACACTAGTGTGATCTACTAAAGAAAAGGCAAAGAATAAGCATAAAAAGAGAAAATCCATTGTGTTTTACTAATTACCACCAACATAAAGAACATTGGATCATTTAAAATATCACTCCAGGACAGCCTGACAAAGTAGTCCACACTCCCAAATCATGTTATTTATGCAATCTACGGGCTGAAGAATACATCCTTATAAAGTGAAACCAACACTTTAAAAGATGCCCTATGGTAACAATTAAGAGGTGGCTGAATTCACGGTTATCAAACTTCGCTCCAGTAGAAATTTCACATTACTCTTGTGCAACAGAGGTATATTCTAGCACAACATTTATATTACTGCACTCTGAAGTTTTTCAGTGACAGCATTAAAGAACAATATGATACTTCCCCCAATTTTTCTAATGTTTTCTAATACCTTTATATTCTCTTTCAGTACTCGCTCAACACAAAGAAGAAAACTAGTAATTTCAAGTTGACTAAAATCATAATTTGGGACTTCCAGGCACTCATCTATCAAGACAAAGCATTTACAGAGTATCCACTGTACTTGACACTAGTCATACAGATTAAAAACATGTGGCCATCTTCCAAAAAGCACCTACCAAGACAAGACACAGAAGCACCAAACACCGTGCTGTCCAAGATGTAAAAATCCTACCCCATCCCAATTTAGGCTCATGTTTTTTTTAATGTAATAGTGAAGATAATGTAGATTACTATTTAAGCACCGGATCTCTCTTTCTGCCGAATATCAAAGTCATACAGACCTTAACCCCAAACCTCTTGCTAAACTAATCCTCTGGGAGCCACAGACTACCTGATCCAAGACTATGAATGAAAGGTGAGCTGGCTCATGGGTTAAGAACAGAGGACCCAACTTCAGTTCCCAACATCCACACAACTCCAGCTCCAGGGGATCTTACACCTCTGGCTTCTACAGATACATAGACAAACACACATATTTTTTTTTAAAAAATTAAAATAAAATGCTTTTATGAACAATATGACTAATAGAATCCTACGTAGAAAGTAGAGAAGTGAGGAAAAGGAGTTCAAGGCCAGCCTCAGCTACACAGTAAATTCCAGACCACAGCCTAGGTGAGATCCTTTCTCAAGAGAAAAGATGAATCTGAGTAACCTTAAACTGAAAGATAAGAACTAGCTGGGCGGTGGTGGTGCACGCCTTTAATCCCAGCACTTGGGAGGCAGAGGCAGGCGGATCTCTGTAGGTTCAAGGCAGCCTGAGCTATAAGTGCTAGTTCCAGGACAGGCTCCAAAGCTACTGAGAAACCCAGTCTTGAAAAAGAACAAAACAAACAACAAAATAAAATTAAAACAAAATTATTAAATTCAAATTTTTAAACTAAAGTAGAAATGTTTTCAACAAGTAAATTCAGTATAGTTTGCTAAATTCAAATAAATTTGCATCATCTGTAGCTAATGAATCAAAATTAAAAGTCATTCTCATATGAACAATAAGGTTTTTTTAAAAAAAAAATTTTATAGTGATTACTTGGTAATTCTTTTCTTTCCTTTTTTTTTTTTTTTTTTTTTTTTTTTTTGGTTTTTTGAGAGAGGGTTTCTCTAGGTATCTTTGGAGCCTGTCCTGGCACTAGCTCTGTAGACCAGGCTGGCCTTGAACTAACAGATCTCCACCGTGAGATTAAAGGCATGAGCCACCACTGCCAGGCTTACTTGGCAATTCTTTTTTTTTTAATTAATTTATTTATTTATTAAGGATTTCTGCCTTCTCCCTGCCACCGCCTCCCATTTCCCTCCCCCTCCCCCATCAAGTCCCTCTCCCTCATCAGCTCAGCTCCAAGAGCAATCAGGGTTCCCTGCCCTGTAGGAAGTTCAAGGACCACCCACCTCCATCCAGGTTTAGTAAGGTGAGCATCCAAACTGCCTAGGCTCCCCCAAAGCTTGGCCTTAAGACAACATAATGAAGAAGAAAGGGACCAGAGCTCAGAAGCTCACTTTTCGTTGCTTAACAGGCTGGGGCGGAGTGGGTAACAGGCCAAAACAAGACCAAGTTTGGGACAACATGGCCCATCAGTTAAGTTTCATCTAGCTAAAGGCTTAACAAAGACAACAGCTCTATTCAGTTCCTTCTACACTTCATGAAAACAAAACGTAAAATAGTGAAGCTGGATTACACTGCTAAGGTCCATCACAAACTGAAAAGATAATCACAAACTGTATTTCTAAGGTAAACATGTCGCCACGGCTGGAGAACAAGAGTTTAGAAGGCATGGATGCTAGAAAGTGTAGCATGAGCTCAGGTATTACCTACTAATGGTTTTCAAGTTTGTCGAGGTATCCTGATTCAAAATGTGTTCCTCCAAGCCTAATATTAAACTGTTTCATTAAAGACAGAACAAGGCCCTAAGGACAACAGTGTCTAATTCTCCTCAGCTTCAGCAGTGGATATTCCACATCCAGACCTGGGATGCACTAATTAAAATTCAATATCGCACTTGGGCATGTGGGTTCCACCATGAAATTCCTGTCATGGTTAAACAGGTTAATAGAACCCAATACAATAGCTCTAGTAAATTATACTGCTCTTCCCCCCTCCCCCCCCCCAGCAGCTCCTTTATCTGACCACTACACCGTAACCTTTAAAATCTATTTAAGGGGTAATAGCAACTATGTCAGGCAAGCTGGGGCACAGGAAGGCTGAGGATAGCAATCCACCGCGTGTGGGAAGAGCACCTCCAACTCACGTTTTCCATTTTCAAATTGTGATACACGTGGAAGAAGTTAAAAAAAAAAAAAAACCAAACACGTAAACCCTTCTCTTTGAACTTCCCATGACAGGGCCTCAAAGGACGAACTTAAGAATGCTTCTCTCAAGGCTCATCTAATACTGCATAGTTCTGAGAAGACTAAAAAAGTTGCACTTGCCCCGTGGAGTGAAAGTGGGGGTGCGGGTGCTGCCTACCGAGAGACCAAGGGTTAAACTAATGCATTATTGCAACTTTGCTGGTGTTCAGTTAGTTGTAAAGACTTAATTCACTCTGGGAACGCAGTCTCGCCCGAGGACGCGGGGACTGGCGGGACGTGACGGGAACGTCAAGCCCGTGCCGAATCCCCGAGTGGGGGGAAACAGCGAGGTGTGGGGTCTCGGCGGCCCGGGGTGGGAACGCGGATCCCGATCAGGAGAGCGCAGACCGGGACCGAGCCGCACGAGAGCCGGGACGGGGCGGCCTGGGGTCGGCAGGGCCTGTGCCGATCCCAGCTTCCGCACTCCGGGAAGAGTCGCTCGGGGCCACACCGCGGCCCCGAAGACGCAGGACGGCGCGCGTGCGCCCGGGAAGCGCGGCCCCGGCTCCGCCCTCCTCACCCCCCCCCCCCTTCTCGCGGCCGCCGCCCCACTGGGAACTCGGAGCCGCGCGGCCCCGCGAGGCGGGCGCCGGGAGGGAGGGGCCGCGCTCCCCGCCTCCCGCGGCCAGCGCTGCTCCCAGCCAAGGCGACTCACCTCCTCCTCCTCCTCTTCGGCTCCCTCCAGGCCACCGGCAGCCCAGCTGGCGACGCGCTGACGCCGAGCCCCTCCCCCGCGGCCGCCACCGAGGCCGCCCGCCCCTCCCCGCCGCAGCCGCAGCGGCCTTGGGGCGCAGCAGGCGGCAGCCCCGCCCTCGCCCCGCCCACAGGCCCGAGGCTCCGCCCCCGGGTTGCCAGCTCCACGCGGAGTCCCTGAGTCAGAGGCCGCGCCGGGCGAGCGAGCAAAGTCGCCGCCGCTTCCCCGAGCCTCCTCACACCTGCTCTCCGCCCGCCCGCCCGCCGGCCCCTCGCACGCTTTCCAGTCACGCCAGCGCCCCCGCCGCCCCTTCGGCTTTTCCATACTCTCTCACACCTCTCGGCGCCGCCTCCGCTCGCGCTGCGGCCTTCTTTTCCTACTGAGGGTGCGGGCTCCCCCGGCCGCGTTCTCAGGCAGGTGTCGAGCCCTTACCTGTAGTCCCTGTACTTCCGGGTGGGCCGGAGGCTCGGGGGAGCCGGTGTGTCCAGTGCACACCCTCCTGCTTGTATTGGTCAGCGCGGCCCGCTTTTCCCTCCCTTGGGAATCCTGGAAGATCTCTGCTAGCCAATGCTGGCTTTTCCTATACTTAAGGTGTATGCAGCCCTTCGGTTGTCGACACTACACCTCCTACCTCAGATGGGGCTTGGCTATTGATAATGACATATTCGCGGTCCTACTAAAAGTCAGAATGAGCAGAAGAAACTCTTAAGGGCCTCTATAAAATGAGGAATTTGTCTCCTGTACGTTTCTACTAATCTGGGTTAACAATTTCGTATTTGGGATCACGCTGTGGCTGCAATTACTCAGGCAAAGGCCAAACATGCAATGGTAGGTATATGCTTTTATCTGGTAATATCATTTTTAAAACTACAACTTGGCCTAGACTGTAATGCAGAAATGCATTGAAGCATACCAAAATAACAGAAACCGATTAGGCCTTTGGAGATGCATCCACAAGTGCTTTAAGTTATGTGAGTAAACATTACTATCCTTAAATTGAACAGTGAAAACTATCTCCTGTTCTAAACAAAGCCCACACTCTATGTGGACCTCCCAAGCTTAAAACCATTGTTGACTTGAACACCAGTATCACAGGCATTTAAAAAGCCTAATAAACCCTCTGTCCATCCACTTTTACACAAATTGAGAAACAGAAAACTGAATGCAGAAAGCTGAAAATGAGAATTCCAAACTGCAAATGAATCTTGTAAATCCTATTCCACAAAATAAAATATTGAGGGGGGAAAAAAACAAAGCCTAGGGGCTACCAGTTCATCAATCTGAAAGATGAGTCCTCTAATTTTATAAATGAATCATCTAGTCCTTAAGATCACCTGGAGTCTAATATTTTTCATTTATCTCATTTAGATCTGAAGTCCGGAGGAGGTAAGTTGCCAAACCAATACACCCAGCTTGATTGGAACAAAGTCCGGATTCCTACTAGGACCTGTCTCACACACTTGCCAGCACAGGATTTAGAATTGCAACTCCAAAGCTGTTCAACGTCAGAATTCTCTGACACCCCAGAATTCTCTGCCTCAATATATATGATCTGTGTATTTGAGCTTAGCTATTGATGTCAGAAGTCATTTCACCCTGATATGTTCAAGGATTTCTCTTGTGTAACCTGCATCTCTCAGTCGGGAATCATCTGCATGATCTCAGTCACTTCTGGCCCTGGCTCTGGAACTCTGATCCAACCAAATACATTCATCCTCAGAGGTGCCAAAGGCTGTGCCTGGTTAAAAGAGTTATGAAATCTCTGTTGTCAAGAAAATTACATTATTGGTGAGGTAAAATATGAGGCATGAAATGATAATTCAACACTAATAATCAAGTTCTCAACAGTAATTTCCAAATGTTAAGTGGGAAAATGGTGCACATAAATTAAGAAAAGACTTCTTAAAGGCCACAACAACAAAGAGGAGATGCATCACTTAGAGCACTGTCTATAGGAAAGAAGTAAAGCAAAATGCTTGGACAAAAGCTCTAAGAAGAAAACAGATATGCCAAGAATAAGCGAAAGTAAGATCAGGGAAGTAAAACAGGAAATCTGAGAAACAAGAACAAGCTAGGTCCAAATGCAGGATAGACCCATTGGTAGAGGACCTAGATTTCAACCTGAGACAGAGTCGAGTAGGAAATCATTGAAGATGGACTGACTGGGCAGAAGAAAAGGAAAGTGGGAAAAGAGGTGGCAAAAATCAGAAGCCATAGCTTTGTTAGGTATATTGGACACCAGTGTAACTTAGAAAGTCTTGGTTTTAGTGAGTATATATAGGAAGCAATGAAAAGCAAGAAGTCCAAGGTGATTTTATAACTGGGGCAAGAGTCAGTTAGTGCCACATCTGCCCCAGGTCCTTAATGCTCACAGGAGCAGCCTGCAAACTGCTGGATAAGGAAGCAAAATATATTGCCAAGGGAGAGCCGCCACATCATATTCTCATTCCACAAAACTGTAGTTTGATACTCAAATAGAATTAGACGATAAAGAGCCCTTAACCCAGGCCCCAACCATGGACACTAGTCTGATATTTTTATGCTCAGCTTATTTTTATTTCTGTTTAAGCCATATTGATGTAAATGTTCTTTATGGTTAAGTATATGTTACAGTATGGAATAAATAAATAATAAGTGGTTATTAAATATACAGAAAATATTACTAGACGAGAAGAATATAGAAATGCCTCTACCTTTCAGTAGCTTATAATCTACTTGGAGAAAAAGAGGTCAATACACCTAGTGTGGGATATAATCCATGGACAGGGAGAGCAACATTGCACACAGCAAAATGAAGTAATATATAAATGGTTAGGGATATAGCTGAATAGCCTGGAAATGATATGGTCATTAGTCACCGTTCAACAAATTTTAGTGAACTTTGCATAGTGTTTTAGATACTAAAGACAAAGCAATAAAACAAACAGTTCCTGTTCTCACAGAGACCCAAAGGAGTCATGTTTCATGTGTTGAAAACTATATGAAAAGCCAAGGACATCTAGAATGTAAGAAACTGGGGAAAGAGTGAAGGAATGAAGCAAGGGAGATAAGAAAGCCTTGTGAATAGGCGGGATTTTGAGGTCAAGTGAAAGTAAGGACATTGGGAGATTAGTCCCTCTGGCATTCTGAATTGGAAGGAGAGATGGGAACCTGGAGAAACAGATGCAAGCCTGCATGATAATACAGGCAGGAGATAAGTAGACAAGGTTGCTGACAAGGTTAGCAAAGAAGATGGAAATGCCAAGACCAAATAGTGGGTAGGTGGTGTTAGTCGTAGCAAATCTATAGCATCACACGCAGCAGAAAGGTCGAAGAGATAAACATTACGAAAAGGCCAATCTGGTTAGCAACAAAGATGTCATGTGTGACGTCAAAAGGAACTGTCTCTGAAGAGTCAGAAGTGGAATGGAGGCAATGAATGCTGACTGAAATAACTATGTGCAAAACATGCGTGTATTTTATTTACCTTTAAAGCTATTGTATTCATAGACACTATTAAATTTTTTTGTTTTTGTTTTCTTTGAGATAGGGTTTCTCTGTGGTTTTGGAGCCTGTCCTGGAACTAGCTCTTGTAGACCAGGCTGGCCTCCAACTCACAGAGATCCACCTGCCCCTGCCTCCCAAGTGCTGGGATTAAAGGCATGCGCCACCATCGCCTGGCCCGACACTATTAAATTTTTACTTCCATGTTAAGTTTTCTTTAATACGTTTTCCTTCCTGTGTCTAATTTTTATCTCCATGTTAAAGGAAAATGAATATCTTCAAAATGCATCTGATTTACTTTTATGGACCAAAACTCAGCCACATGAATGATACCCAGAAGGTTCACTCTCCTCTTGCAATACAGCAATAACCTAACAGCTTCGTTACCTGTTATGCCTCAGCCAGGCAGCCAGTAAGTATGATGGCCTTGAACACACACACACTGTCACTGAACCCCAGGTTTTCACTAGGGGACAAGAGAAATCTCAAATTGGAGGTGAAGAGGAGGAAGGCAAGCCTTTCTACAGAGGAGAAACAAAGGCGTCCTGTGGAGTGTGCAGGAACTGCTACCATGACCTCGAGTGGTACTTTTGCCATCTGGAAGAAGACAGCTCAGTCGAACCAGATGCTCTTTTTGTTTATCACACTGCAAGACAATTAAGGAGTAGTTCTTCTTCCCTGGAAATAGATTAGAAAATCTGGCAGACAAAGTAGAGGGCGAAACCTGAAGCCATCCATTTGAAGTGATGTAGCCTTGAGCTTCCAAGGAGAAGCAAACCAGACTTTGGCCAAATTTGTGTCCATGCATGTATGTGCATGCCTTCTCCTGATTGTATTATGTTGTTGAGTAGGGTATGTTAATTTGTTAGGTGTTATTGAAAGATGGAATGCTATTATCACTCTATCTTAGTTGGAATATACTTCATGTGGGGGTCTGCTGGGAGCACCTAATCTCTTGTGGTGATTTGGAAAGCTGCATTAAATTCATTGAAGGAAAAATATGTGAAAATTATTCTAAAAATAACCATGAAATTTACTATGTTTAATTTGCTGTTTTAAAAGCTCTTCAAGTCAGTAGTGACCACAGATTCCTAGCATTAATGAACAATTATCATATTGCTGAAATTGACACCATATTTAGCCGTAGAAAGGCCAAAAATACAGTAGGGTAAAAAGCATGAAATATATTCTTCGTTGATGAAATATCTTTAGTTGGGATTTAGCTGTTCCACACTGTGGTACACAGGAATGGGCTTATCACTGTTATCTTCTGGCCTAGAGTTAGAAGTATTTCATACTGTGATTCATGTACCTTTTACCAAGGATAAATGTCATGTTTTTCATGAAAAAAACAAAGAAGGCTTACATAGTCCCACCTCATGCCTAGCCTTTCTAGCAATTATCTGCTGCTTGGAATCAGAATCAGCCAACTAAGTTCAGATGGGGGGTAAATGTTTGATCTGCAGGAGTGTGATTTGGAAGACTGTACATAGAAGGTATGGCTATGCACATACAGAGAACATATTGATCTCATTTGACTGCCAGTGATTTAATTAATGTTTCTCAAGCACTTTGAACATGAAAAGCACTATCTGAAAGCTGAGAGCTATTAGACATAATCATTTTTTCCTAGAATTAACGTACCAATGTGATACTCCTATGGTATCTTTAAGAGACAGGCTCTATTTTAATAAACTCTTTGGACCATGTTTTGGGAAACTCTCATTAAAGCTTCAAGACATTAGTCTCTGAGAGTCAAGCTTCAAGCTGGTTGGGTATCAGTAGATTCTGAAGCGATTATGCTAAATCAGCAATGGTGACAGCTTGGTGAAGTATACACAACCATTTATTCAGAGGATGCTAACAAGGGCAAGCTTAAAATAAGAACACACACCACAACCTGATTTTCAAGTTTTTGTGCCTAAAATTATCCATATTATCATCTAGGTTTTTCCCCCTTCTAACTTTTTTCTCTCTAAGAAAGTAACTACTGATGAGCTTGATACCTTGGTAATAATCTAAAAAGAAGGGAAAAGTGGGAGCTTTCTTTTAAGGCTTTGACACCTAAACATGACCTCTTCTGTTATTACTTTTTCCTCAAGTCAAGTATAAGAACCACTGGCAAAAGATGAAGAAATTGCCGGGCGGTGGTGGCGCACGCCTTTAATCCCAGCACTCGGGAGGCAGAGGCAGGCGGATCTCTGTGAGTTCGAGGCCAGCCTGGTCTACACGAGCTAGTTCCAGGACAGGAACCAAAAAGCTACGAAGAAACCCTGTCTCGAAAAATCAAAAAAAAAAAAAAAAAAAAAAAAAAAAAGATGAAGAAATTTTGAGCTGAGAGAGAAATCATTTGGAAGAAGAACTTTGTCTGACACATAAGCAGTTCTAGCAGTGTTCTATGCATGCCTGCAAAGGAATGGCAGGATATTTGTTCAACTTTCCAGTACCATGGGACAGAATGTACTTGCCTATAGATTAGAAAGGGAGACTAAAAAAAGATACAGACCTTTACCAAAATTAAGGATGTATAGAAACCCACTACTTTGTGAGATAATTTAAAATACAGAATTTAAACACAGGTGCCCCATATGGGTACATAGTGTACTTCCCACAGAAGACATGAGTTAGTAAAAGAAAATCTCAGAGCTAGGCGATGAATAGATTACTGTGAGTTATTGTTCTGGGAGACACCAGAGGCCCCCAAACACCATCGGCTATTACTCTTGCTTGATTACCCACCACAACTAGTTGCCAAGACCCTATGGCTGAAGAGACAGCACATTTTGGTGACAGGGCATAGAGGAGTCAAGCTGCAAATGACCTGAGCAGTTCCTCTCTTCTGGCTGGCTTTCATGGTGCTAGAAGAGCCTTTGCAGGCTGCTAGAGGAGAAAGGTAACCCACCAACTAACTGAATGCTACAACACCACCCTGCCAGACAAGATGTGTCCACTGTCGTAATAGAAGCAAGAGGGTAATGGTTGCAATGAATTGCTTTCTGTTTAGACTTGAGGCCTGCTCTACAAGAAGGAATTCATACCTGATAATATAAACCTGCTCATAAGCTCTATTGCTCATAACTCCTGTTGTTTTGCCACATAGATATGTTGTCAAATTCCCTTATAAATATTTATGTTTGGACACATAAATTAATATTGTTCTCAATTCTGACCACAGGAGCTTCTTTCTTTAGTAGTCACAGTTAAATACTGAGACTTGTAACTGGTCAAAGGGCTAAAAATAAGTGACTATTGAGTGTTCAGTATTAAAGAGAACATCTTTATCAACCTGCCTGAGGCTTAGGGATCATTGCAGAGAGGAGGTGGGAAGAGTGCCTGCTGTAGGGTCTTTCTGAATACGACATGGATGCTGTCCTTATGAACTTACAAGTGTCACCTGCACAAGGCCTGGACACCATCTAGCTGGCCCACCAGGCAGTGCTAACCAGTCTTCATTGATTACACACACATAGAAAGGAGAAGACGCTAAGGTATAAGGGTGCCTTGTTAGGAGTATTTAGGGGGAATAGAAGGGGGAAGGAGGGCAGGGGTGGGTGTGATCGAGATATACTGTACATATGTCTCAAATTGACAAAGAATGAATAAAAGGTGCCTTAAAAATAGCTGACTTTCCTTTGGGACCCTCAGTGAGGTATAGCCTCCAAAACCCCTGACTTGTTTTTGAATTTTACCTTCTTCTCATTTATTTTCCACTCACCTAAACAGAACTTTTGCTTGCATATCAATGTAGAAGTTTCTTCTACGTGTATGATACAACATGAATATTCTGAATAAAGCACCCATTCCTACAAGACTGATTTTGTTTACTCAATATCTTAAATTTAATCTTGGAGAATTTCATACATGTATACAGTAAATTCAGCTATGTTCATCTTCACTCCCTCCCTCCCTCTAAATCCTCCTGGATCCTCTCGTGTCTCTTTCAACATCATTTCATTGTTTTATATAACCTACTGGATCCAATTAGTGCTACCTGTATAAAAATTGTGCAGAAACATCCACTAGAACTTGGCCCACTTAACAGGGATTACACCCCTATAGAGAACTGGCTCTCCCCCCCCCCCCCCCCCCCGACAGCCATTAACTGTCAAGAGAACCTCAACTAGGGGCGGGGCTCAGGTGCCTCTTCCCCATTTGTGCTGAATGTTCACTGTCTTAACCTGTGCAGATCTTATGCCGACAGCACACAGCCACTGTGAGTTCATAACCTCAATGATCCTGTCACTGCCAAAAGACGCTGAGCTTCAGTCCTCCTCAACCTCTGTCTTTCACAATTTTCCTCTTTCCTTTCATTCTTAGCACAAATCTTACTGGTAGCAAGCAGATGTGGCAGGGAAGGTAGTGTCCATCAAACATACTTAGAAAGGGACGTCGAGGGGACGTCGAGAGAATTGAACTACTAGGTTTGTAAGGTCCTAGGTGGATAAGAGCACTTTTTAACCATGCCTTTCTAGCTCCAGAAGCCCAATTATCCAAGAAAGGAACTCTAGATCTCTAGGAGGTTTCCCAGAGAACAATTAGATCCACAAGAGACTTCTTAGGAGTAAGATTTTAGACCTGAGCAGTCTGGCAGCATTAGCTACATAGTGGCGTATACTCAAAAAAAAAAAAAAAATCAGCAACTTAGATCTATCCTCTCTCACAATGGAAACACTTTGTAACATCTTCTTTCTGCTTTCAGACCGGGTCTCACTGTGTAGGTTCAGCTGCCCTGGAACAGGCTATGTAGACCAGGCTGGCCTCCAGTTCAGAGACATCCACTAGCAAATCCTTAGGAGGTGAGTATTGGGATTAAAAGGGTGTACTCTCATGCTTGGTGAAACACACCAATAAAAACAGTTTGCAGTATTGAAGTTCAAGCAGAAGGCAAAGTGATAATGGAATAAGCAATACGCCCTTTATTAGGTATGAATAGATTTTAAAAATTGCATTATATATTGTATGCTAGAAAACTTGCTTTTTGATTGTATCTTTTGGTGTAGGATATAGTATACATTCCACCACCCTACCTTCCCCACTTAAAGAATTAGTGAGATTTTCTGGGCATGGTGGAACATGCCTTTAATGACAGCATTTGAGAGGCAGAGACAGGCAGATCACTGAATTCGAGGCCAACCTGGTCTATGTCCATACAGAGTTCCAGGACAGCCTGAGCTGCACAGTGAGATTCTATCTAGAAAACAAATAAACAAGTGAAACTACAGCAAAAACGAAACAAAAAGAATTAGTGAACTCTAAAGTCTGCCCCACTGGAGTCAGGGGTCGTTTGTCTTTGCTGTGCCTGGATCTTTTTTATTCCACCATGAAGCATTAACAAACAACCTTCCGTTTTCTCAGATGGCCGCGGTCCCCAAATCAAGTACCAGTCAGAAGCAGTATGACATCTGATTTGCTTTGGCTGCACTCCTTAGGTGCTTAGGTAAAGCAGCTTCTATGGTATTCCCCACTTCTCTCCTGCCTTGTGCAGGAAGGCGAGGGGTTCCCCACAGTGTGTGTTTAAAGCTTAGCCCCCACACACCTGGGCCTTCTACCTAGATGGGAAGGATGAATCACACAGCAGCTTTGGTGGAAGAAATGTGTGATGAGCTGCAAAAGCTCACAGAGGCTGAACCCTTGGCAGAAGCCTCTGCTGCATATTATTAGAGATTTGCTGCTCTACCCTGAAGTATTCTCTCGATAGCCAGAGGCCAGCTTTTCCTACTGAAGCAGTTTGAAAGTTACATATGTACATGAGGCAAGGGCAGGGAAAAATGCCCCTATCATGGGTTCCCAAGCACTCTAGAATCCTTTACCACTAACTATGCCTTTAATAACCAGTTTTGTAGCTGATTCCAATTTCTTTTGAAATGGGAGGAAATAAAACATGAGCTAGCTTTTCCAGTTTGCTTTTCTCATAAGTAGAGTAGTTAATAACGTTTCTTATTTTAACCCATTACTTTTCCCTGAATTCACACACTAAAAAGGAAACAAAATTGTGTAATGTTTTCTTTATCCTGTTCCTTTTTTTTTTTCAAACAATCACTGAATATAAAAATCCACAAATACTTCTGGGATTAAATGGAAGGGACACATGAAAGGGACACATTGAAATACCTTTTTATTTCTGCTCAGTATAATTTGCCCCGTTTTGAAGTTGGGGCCTGTTGCTTTGGTTCCTATAGAAAGAAGTTACAATGTAAGAAAACATTACAA